TGGCAAAATATCACACTGGAAGAGGAGGTGTATGAACCTCCCTGATCATGGCAATAACATTACAGGGTCCTGTAATAGTGCTGCTAGAGTAGATCAGGAGACAAATTTGACCTTCAGGCTAACAATTTCAAGCTAACCAAGCATCACTGTACCACTCATATCAAAGGCCACTATGATAAACAGAAACCAAACGCCTCTGTATTGGAAACCTTTCTCTTAATTTTCCTAGCCTTAGAGACATACTATACTTTCAAACTCTGGTAATAATTTGAGGTGCTAATTTTTTTTTAAATAATGAAAATGGGTTTTAAAAGAGCATGGTGCTCTGATACTAGAAATGTGGAAACAGTTTCCCTCTTGCAACATGAAACTTCAAAAGATCAGACTGGTGTCTGATGAAGTAGACTTGTCCATAAAAGCTCACATTAAAAAAGTATAAAAGTTATTTTTAAGGTGCCACCATGTTTTTTTGTTTGTGTCTTTTTCTTTATTTCTATTTTGTGTTTATCTATCATGCTTGCACCGACTAACATGACTGCCCCTTCTACAACTTCAAAAGATCAGATACTGTGGATGAAGTCTGTGTTGTTCACTCAAGAAATTAAAACTAACTTCTTGGCCATCAGAAGACTCTTCATCTAGACTCTTCAGAATTCAGCCCACTGTGAAAGTATTTAATAATTGTGTGTGTGGGGGGGAAGGATCCTTAGAACTCAAGAACAGAAAATAAACAGAATAGGAAATCTGTTCAAAAAAGTACAAGGGGTAGTGTTCTTCAGAATGTAAAACTTTTTACCAGAGACGAATTGAAAATAAGCAATTAACAAGATCAGAATAGTTTTTGAGACTTCAGTTCTATAATGAAGTCTCAGTAAGCAATTTTTTTCCAAAACAAAAAATTACCATCATTATAGTTGAATGTTGTTTCTTCCCATTGGACAGAGAATGCCAACACTAGATGTGTCAGTTTTAACACACGAGCAGCCTGACCCTGTCGTTTATTAAAATGTAAGTCCAACAATACTCCCTGGGACTTCCCATGTAATTGTGCATAAAACTTGACCAATGATGCTTATGCAACCACCACGTCACACAGTACTCACAAAAGCAAGTGAAAAATAGTGCAAAATTACAGGCATGTTACTCTTTAAATATTGGGAGTCTGTGTTACTCACTAATGAAGCACAGCCTTGATTTTAAAAAAATCAAATTTTCATGAATTAGAGTGTACAATACATGCCCACGCCCCCCGCTTTTGCACCTGCTTCAGTCAAAGTAGGCTGAAAGCATCCCGGTGGACTTGTTTGTGCGGTTGCCTAGAAATTTTTAGATCTTTGTACATTGAAGCCCCCCACAAACTCTAACATTTCTGAGGTGACCTTGAAGCCACTCATTCCCATCCTGGGGACACTGTGAGGATCAAGTGGGAAGAAGAGTCACCACAAGTTCAGTGGAGCAAAGGTGGGATATATATAAAATTAATGAAATAAAGGGATAGGTCATGGCTACACCTCCCACCTGTTTCACAGTAAGATTCATTTGCACTGCAAAATGACTGCAGAAATTGTATGTGGGGGACCATTTAGCAACCAGGTACATAGCATATGGGCTAATCACTCAGCTTTGAGTTTTAAGACTACCGAAGCATGCAACACAATTTTGTTTTGATATGATGTATTTCTATTTACATGGTACATTTTTAAAGCAATAGCTACACTGATCATACATATTAGAAACAATAAAAAAGAAGTTAAGAACTAAAATGTACATCATACACTTGTATATATATTCTTTACACAGAGGTAAAAAGGCTTATAAAAATCAATACAACAGAGTTTTTAACTTTTAGTATACAGATACATAATGGAAGTCTGCTTCAGGCACTTAAATCTGTTAATGTGAGCAACAGCTTGAAAATAAAGTCACGACTGGAAAAAAGAAACGCCACGTTTTGGTTACTGGATTGTTACCACAGATACAAAAATAAAATCTGGAATAATTTCTCAGATGATTAATGTCAGTACTGAAAAGCTGACGGGGGTGGGGGAGAAATGTCACACACTGTTCATCTGCAGTGTGGAGATCCATGGGAAATATTTACAAATTAATTTCCCCCTCTCAATCCCCAATTTCTCCCTTGTGCCCGTTTTGCTGCTCCTTTCATAAACAAGCAAGCAAGCGAACAAACAAACAAAACATCCCAACCACTCACACGCAGGGAAAGAGAAGAACAAATGCAGAAGAACTTAACAATGAAATTCAAACAAAGCCGGGGGGGGGGAGAGAAGGGGAATTTAGAGAAGAAGACATACAATAAGGCTTGAAATACGTCTGCTTTAACAAAATAAATATGGGCACCTGAATGGAGAAGCTTGACAATCCGGAGAAGCTTGACAATCATTAAGATCTCTTCTGTAGTGTTGTGCTTTGTCAAGGGTAAATCTTAGAGGAATTCAGAGAGTGGAACAAACAGACAAACACACAAACGAACATTGTTCCATCACTTTTTGAGGCTGGGTTGCTGTTTGCTAGTCACCCTTTTAGAGATTTGTCATTTGCTATCAGGCACAAAAATATTTTTTTCCCATGAGTCTATCAAAACATTTAAACGAAACAAAGCAAAATTAAGAGTTTCCCTTACCTTTTAGCATTGTTTTCACAAATGCTGAACCTAACAATGGCTATAATATTAAAGTCTACATTATATAGGTGTATGCACCTTACAGACAAATCCCAGATCTTGAATATCAAAGATGAAAAATAAACATGATCGATCCAGTCTGCTCATCATGTAGAATTCTGGAGTGCTATCACTGTAAACTGCAGCAGGGGGGAATGCTATTTTTAATGCTTAATATACAGCATACTAGCACACCAATGCTTCCGATTTACTTGCCTACTTCAAGTGAGCCTGGAACTTCTTAGACAGGGGAGATCTACTTGGCTTCTTATTGGAACCCTGAGATCTACTTGCTGAAGGCAGTGCAAAACAATGACTCAGCTGTATGGACGTATGTATGCTCAGTTACATAACAGGTTGCTTGTCCAGCATGTGTTTGGCCCAGAAGCACCAGATCCCAAACACACAAGACAAAAATCCACTCTTGGTTTTCCTCCAAGTGTTCTTCAGCAACCCTACTTTAGGAGGAATGGGGAAAGCTTTGTTTCTTTGTTTGTTTTAAGGAAAATTGGGAGGAAGAAACATTTCTCAGCATTCTACAGATCACCCAGAGATCCACCAGGAGATCTGGATCTGTCTTCTGCTGAACCTGGTGTAAATGGGTTGGGTCTAGCTCTCTCTCTCTCTGCTTTATCCTTTGGACATGGGAGTACTGAAAGGTTTTCTCCAGCTACTCCCAGACGGAACAATAATAATACTGGCATGGGACAAAGCTTCAGCACAGATCCTTCTCTGCTGCCCTGAAGATGATGGCAGTCTCTCTCTGCAATGTGGGCATGGGCCACGCTGCAGCAGCTCCTATGATACAGGAGCAGAATGAGGAGGGATCCACAATGGACCTTCTGTGGAGTGTGAATGTGTTTTCATTGCAGGTTTTCCTGCTCTGTACCTTCAAAGACTACTTCCAAAGGTTCCAGAGTTTCAAGAGCTGTCAGTTGTGGGTTCTGCTTCTGGAAGCAGGTCTCAAGAACCGTTTACTGCCAGCCAGCTAAAACCTTGTTCTTTCTGGATTGGCCTGTACCTCTGGTAATGGGCCCGGAAGGGGGGGGGGAGAGAGTTACAAAAAAGGAAGGGTGATGGTGGATGTGCTCCAATGACTCATAAAACCAATGCCTGAGCATAACTGGAAGTACTCAAGTTCTAGGATTTGACTCTAATTTCATACACGCACTTTCTTTCATACACTGTGTTGCATATGTAGTCAAATGTCACAAAAGCTATGAGATTCCCCGAAGGAGCTTGCTGGCCCACTTCACATGGAAGAGGGGTGACAAGCCTGTCACTATCTGTTATCTCTATTTGGCAAAAAATAAAAAATGCAGTTCCTTTTTTCCTTTTAAGACTCATGTCAATGTGCAAGAAGGAGGGAGGAGGGGGCAAGGGCATGGACTCACTGGCAGTCGACTGCAGAAAAGAAAACTATGGCAGGAACAGCAATGCCAGTTCTCACAAGCCAGTGCCTAGCTGCCTCGGAATATTCAGATTGTACTATGCTATATTATAGCTAAACGGCTCTACATTATTCCTTTGAATAAAAACTCATTTTGCTATTCCATGTCATATATTAGAAAAATATTTTTCCCCAGCTAATTACAAGCCTTGGACACAAGACATGGCTTATTTTTAAAAAACAAAACAAAACAAGAAAACCAAAACTCAAACCTACACCAAACCATTTCACCCCACGGTATGCATTTCAGAGCAAAATAAAGAGCCCTGTTCGGTACAGAGCCTGCAAAGCTTACACATCGACACACTGCCATGTTTCGACTGAAATCAACTTTGTTGTCCCGAATGTTAATGTACCCTGTGATCTCTGCTATTTCTTCCCACAGGGTTGGAAAAATACTTCCCATGTTCCTAGTGTCCTGGTTTCAAGGCAGGAGGGTGACCAGGTGCCTGGGGTTTACCCAGCTCTGATCCAAGGCATGTTGACTCTGGATTCTCTGCAGATCCTGAATAGGTTGGTTCAGTGCATTTGAGAGTGGGCAATACCCCACAAGACCCTACGCAGGCCTCTAGTGGATCCTGTAGTCTGGATGGGGTCAGTTCATGCCACACAACAGAAAGCCAGGAAAAACCAGAGTACATTCCCCCCCCCCTTTGCTGCTTCCTATCTGTGCGTTTCACACCAGTGAACTGGGAACATGGGAAGTTGTAATATTTATTTATTTATTTATTTAACTTATATGCCGCCCACTCTATGGTCTTAACCTCGCTAGTAAGTATGCATGTTTACAGTGCAAGAGCATCTGCTTTGCAGGTCCTAGGACTTGGAGAGGAAAGGAAGAGATTTGCTTGCTACCCAGATTTTTTTGGGGGGAGGGGGGAGTTTTATCAGTCAATTAAGCTCATCAATCGAACCCACCCACAGTGGGTGAGTCAGAGATGCCGGAAGTGCTCATTATCATTAAAAGCACTGGGGAAATGGGACTTGCCCCTCCCACTCCACATATTTTTGTAGCAGGTCTAAAGAGGACCTGGACTAATGGCTGGCTTGGAGTCTTGGCTAGTCCCACTATCATCCTCTCGTGGAGAGGGAGGGACACCAGAGCAGTCAAGTTCACTGGTACATTAAACATAATATTGTGCACTTCTGCAAAGGGAAAGGCAATAATATTTTTTTAAAAAGAAAAGGCTGTGCTCTTCCTGCCTACAGCCAAGCAACTATCAAAGGCTGTGCTGACGGGTTACCTTTAGCCCAACCCTGCTGGTGTGGCGGGCTCAGACTGACATCTGCCAGTCTGAGAGGAAAGCAGTGGCACTATCTGTGAAGGGGGAAAAAAAAGAAAGTTCAAAGCACTCTCACATGTTCAAAGGCCTTCAAGGCAGGGAGAATTGTAGGCAAAAAATGAAAACAACCTCCCGAAAACAGGCAAAAAAAGAAAAAAAAGAAATACACCTCCTGGCAATGGAGGCTTCCCTGTATTTCTGGATTGATCTGGAATGCACCTGAACGCTTAAGGCCCCTGGATCCATTCCAGAAATGCTCCCACCCTGGACTGGGTTGGGGGAAAAATTCTCCCCTTCCTTTGTATACACACTGGGGTCATGATTTTTTTTAAAGTTCCCTCTTTTATTTTTCAAGATAACACCACAAGTACATGGGTATACATGTTAATGTAGTAACATGTAAAATCCCCCTGTTTCAGATCAAAACACTGCAGGTCACATCTGTTTTGACTCTGAGGAGCATTAATACCAACACTGTATAGTTTAATATCATTTGGAGGAGAAAAGACATTTGGAAAGTGGGATGGGGGGATGAGGGAGAGAAGACACTTGTTTAAAATTTCCCTTTTCCATGAAAAATAGAAACAAGAATTCTCACATTCTCAGTGATACTAAGGCTTGTTTCCCACATTCCACTTAAAATGTTCGAAGGTCAGAGACATCATTCAAAGTGGCTTTCAAAAGAAACTGTGGACCCTTAAGAAACTGCAGTTCACATGGATTCATTCAATAAAGATTGTCAGCAATACTGGGTCATGGTGCACATCTGTAACCAGCACACTTTCTGTGTGTACACACATGCACGCACACACACATACTGACTGACCATCGTACACACACACGCACACACACACACACACACACACACACTCTGCAACTGGCTGCAAGCTGAAGCCACTCAAAAGTGGGATTTCATTCCACTATACTGTACTTCCACATTATTCTTATAGTTAGTTTAAATACAGACACAACTGTGAGATGTCCTGAATTCCACCACACTCAACTGTTCCTATCACAGTCTCCTTTGGAGGGGAGGATTGGAGAGGGAAGATGTCAACATGTACAAGACATTCTGTCTGATTACAGATCAATAATACAAAAGTCTATGCTGCACATTAGTCTGTTAGCACGTAATGAGCCATCGATGCATAGCAGCAGAGTGGGAGGGGAAAATACCACGCCGATGGGTTTCTGGATTCCACCAGGCTCCCTTGGCCACGTGAAGAAGGTACATACAATCCGAGAATGCTCCAGGACCAAGTTGCTCCTTGGCCAAAGGGGAAAGGCAGAAGAGTCCTTCGCAGGTTTTGAGCGTTATCATCCAGCTGCTTTGTGTTTCCCGCCACAGCATCGGCACATGACCCCACAGTGATAACAAGCCCGGAGGGGCAAGTAACAGCACATACAAGGAGCAATAAAAGACAAGGCGATAAGGGCCAACCACCGGAGGCAAAACTTTTCGTCACTGGTATCGCAAGAACAAGGGTCTGTATAATCTCCTTCAGGATCAGACATGCAGTGGTAGAGCATACTGTCCGCGCACCACATGCAGCTGACTCGGCGGATGCAGCTTCGTACTCTATCCGGAGCATCCTGGCACTGCCCTCGCCTATTTTCCTCGTGGTTAAAGATGTCCCTGCAATAGACACACCGTGACCTCTCCCCGTCTTCTTTCCGCCGCCGTGATTTGCACCTGGAGGGTTGAGTCTTTATCACAGGGCTCTTGATGTTTTCACCCGGATCGAAGTCAGAGTTGCCTACGTAAGGGTAATTGTAATCATGCTTCGAGCCCACACTTTTGGCAAACCGCACATACGAATCCCCGTCGTCTGGATCAATGTACTTTCCCCGCATAGGGGTGTGGCGGTAGTCCTCGTAGCCTGTCACCCAGATCTTTTCCCGTGGATTAATCCGCACAATTTCCTCATCATCGTCAGGGAAGCTAACATGTCGATATGGCCGTGTAATTGACTGTTGGAGGAAGATTATAAGAAGCACACATTTTTCAGCAGGTAGAGAGTACACAGAATTTTAATACAATGTATGATAACATATGGATTTGCAACTTGGTTTTCTAGTTAATCAAGCTATAAAGGGCATCTGTAGGTGCATCTACAAAAAATCCTTTATGCATTTGAAAAGCTAAAAACATGCTATAAAATGAAATATAGCCAACAATCTGTTGTCATTTCTCTCTCATACTGCCTGACTCTCTCTCTCTCTCTCTCTCTCTCTCTCTCTCTCTCTGCATCTGTCTGGGGAGCCAGAGGTTGGGAGTTCGATTCAATGATCCATACGTTCCCTTCCAGCTCTGTAGTTCTAAGATTATTATTATTACTACTCAATCTCCCCACTCTGTCCAGAAAGAGATGTAATGTGAACAAGACTGTAACTGGATACAGCTAGCAGTCATTCCCACGATTGCTGCAGATGAACTAAAGAATGTGCCAGTGCAATTTTTGGTGGTTACTGGCTGTATTCTGATAGAGAGAGAGAGAGGTCTCTGTTGATGCTACTCCTGACAACTCTTACTGCAGAAACACATAGGAAATGCACACAGGAAGTACAGTGTTGGAAAGCTGCTGATTTGTGTGTGTAAACCTTTGCTTCAAATGTATAATCACAGAAAGGTAAATGACACACACCTATCTTGTATAAGTCATGAACTATTTGCTGAAGACCAGCTGAACACACTCATCCTTGGAAGACCTAGATGACCAAGCATTCTCATCAAAGGAGCCCCTACCCATCCTCTCCTGCCGGTAACATACATATGGACAATTCGTTATGGTAATCTAGTGCCAAAGCGAGGTGAGTTTGACACATCCAGCCTCCTGAAGACTTAAGCATGTCAAAATAGAACTCTGAAATAAAAAGAGGACTCACTTGTTCTAGATGGTAGTGGTCAGGACTTAATTGGTCATGCATGTGACCTTGGGTGCAAATCCTGTGATGCTCGCAGGATGGAGGAGATGCTAGTGTTCGCAAAGGCTGTTCCCTCTTCTGGGAAGAATTGGAGGAACTGTCTGTAGCATTCTGTTAGGAACAACAAAGAAAAGCCAAGGTCAATGCTACAAATGCTATTTCTGCAAAACCCCAGACATACAGCATGCCACAAATGTCTTTCAGAGCAGGACTATGGTATTTTCCCCTCTACATGCTGAACTCTCCATATCTTTGAAAATTAAGATTCACAGAGCTAAACATTAGTTTAATAATTAATTTAATGTCCTAATGGTGGAATAGTTGTGCTGTTCTTCCAGTGTTGTCCCTCTCATTCAACACCACCTCCCCCCCACAGCATTTTCCAATGTGCATAGCCCCATAAACTGACATACTCTTTCTTATTATGTTGAGATACACATCTTAGAATGATCACTTAAGATACTTTGCCCTTGGTTGAAGTTCTCATCTTCTCCCCATAATGTTTTGGGTCACATAAACTATTCTCCAACTCCAGGTGCACACCCACAACCCATGCACACCTCCCCAAAGGCAAATCTATAGGACTCAGATCCCTAAATACCACAAGATTGAACCATACCCATTGCTTGACATTTGCATCCTGATCCTAATTTCTACAGAACATAATCACCATCTAAACTTGTTCCCTCACTTCGACTTTAAATGATCTACAATGCTGAGAACCACAGTAAGAGTTCTTAGGTTACTACATGCGCTGTCAACAAACAACTACGCTGTGGATGCCATTCTTAATTTCCAAAGCAGTTCTAAATTTCCTTTCCTTCTATTAAAGGGTTGGTTTTTCATGAGAATTTTTAGCATGAAGTACTTAGTACAACACAGACCATGGTGCACAATAGAAAAGGGTGCTGCACATGTTTAGCCCAGTTTTGAAACAAACAGAATGCGATCTGTGCCTGACCATGGCTTCCATGAGAGAGCCTCACAGCACAGTGGTTAAGTGCGGTACTGCAGTCAAGATGCTGCTCATGATGTGAGTTCATTCCCAACTGATTCAGGTAGGATTTCCATCCTTCTGGAGTTGGTAAATTGAGTGCCTAGACTGGGGTTGGGGAAGCAATGTGTAGCCTGCATAATTAAATTGCAATCAGCAGAGAGAATGCGTTAAGAGAGTCCATTACTATGGGGCGGTATACCAGCAGTATACTTTTGCTTTCCTTGTTGCCATAAAATGTAAAATGGGGATAAAAAGACATCTTTGCTTCCTCATTTGATGCTGTGTGATTATCTTGTATTCACGTCCAACTTCAGCAGCCCTTAGAACTTGAACAAAATACACCTCCTATGTAGTTTTGCATGACAAACATGAAGACAAAGATGCTACGCGGACACAATCAAGCCATGGTTTTAAATCTTGGTGTGTCATGTGCTGTATGCCAGCCTGAACTTTGAGGTAGCATCCCTTCAGGAGAAAAAAAAGCATCTTTACCTGTCTCAGGCCAGAGACCTAACACTTCTGTGAACCACTTGCCCTCTGAAATGAGCCCCTTTCCTGCCCTCTGGCCCTGCACACAACCAGGAATGCGATAAGGCACAGTTCTGATGGAACGTTCTAAAATAATTCATGCATAGCTTCATTTGGCTCTGTTCTCTTCCTCTCAGCCTTCTTCTGCAAAAGGAGAAACTGGAGATGGACAGACATTATATTACTTTTATACAAAGCCTGACATATTTTGTAAGAATATTTTGAACGTTTTAGTTGCATCAGCTGTTGGGGTCTATTTTGGGGGCAGATACAAACCAAAATAAATATGGACGGTCATAACTGCAAATAAGTGACCCCATCTGACTTCTTAAAATATCATTTGTCTGCTCTAAGAAGTCTCTGCTTGCCATAACCTTCCTTTTAACTCTTAAGCATAAGCTTATGAATGCGCAGCTGAAGTCGGGAGGAATCTTTAAAAGCTGTAAATAGCAAAGTATGAATGCAGAGCATGTAGTTCTGCACAAAATATTTCCAATGCAGATTTTGAACTCAAAATGATTCTGTTTCCAACAAATATAAATGTTTCACCTGTCATCTTATTTATCTCTGTATATAAATGGAGGAGGGTGGGAACAGGACAGACATCTGTTCCTGAAAACATTCACCCTGGCTTTCCTTTTTTCAGGCTGCTCTTCATCCCCTGCACCACCTCCCCCTTCTTGCATTTATTTAAATATAACAAGGATATAACAATGCCCCAGGATTTTATAGAGCTGTGCGAACAAACCATTGCTTAAAGGGCCAGAACTGTTGCGATTCCCTACATCTAGTAAAAAAATGGCTGGTTATCTCCTGTTACCAAGCTCGCTCCACCTTACACCATACGAACCATGCTTGCTGGGAATACTGAAAGTTCTCAGGATGGCAAGAGGCTGGGAAACCCTCTGCTATATAAGCCTGGGCAACCTTATCCAGAGTCCCTCACAGTCAAGCGGCCTACCTCCAGGAAGACTGCAGGAACATTAACCAAGTAGGCGAGGGACCCTGTCACTTGAAGGATCCTACGCCTGGGACCTCCAGTAGAGAAAGAGGCGGCTTCTCCTTCCTTGGATAGCCCTCCATTTTGCCACCGTTCCAGTCTGCCTGTCGCAGGGCCGACTATTGCCTTTTTGTTTCAAATGTAATGAGGTGAGAAAGAACTTTAATAAAACATATTACACTAACTTAGCATGCTTCCTACATTTTTCCAATATACTAGAATAGGAAAGAGCTCAAAACCAGAACTGAGTGCATCTAAACAGTGTTAAGGAATTTACAGATTAGTAATTTGGCACTGACTTGCCCTTTGGCCTTGTATCAGCCCCCCATCCACATCAGCCCTGGGAAGAAATTTCTCACCCTTTAAGGGGACAGAGAAGCCAGAAACAACTTCAGATATTTGCTCCAGATCCTCTTTCCCCTCAGGATTCCCACCAGCCTGGCTAATGTCTGGCATCATAGGCTGCAAGGCAATTTTCTAATCCTGCTTTATGTTGTTTAACAGGAAGTTGACAATCATCTCCTTGTCTGGCTGCCAAGGAGCTCTTTCTCCAGCTATGTTTACATGCCAGGCATGGCCTGTCCAGAGTGTCACCACTTTCAAAGGCAAAATACAACACTGTTCAGGGTTTTCCCCATCACTCCTTGTGACCCCCATAAATCCCCCCCCCATGCCCATTATTGAATAAAGTCCCTTTCTCATCTCTACCCAAATCACCGGTTGATTGATTGATTGCCACAGATTGGTGGACCGCCATTCTGCAAAAACACAAACTATCTCCATCATACTAGCTGCAGGCATCATGATTGTGAAGCTCAAAGACACTGAGCTGCAATTGTGACCAGGAATGTTTACATGAATATTTAAGTGACTGTATAAACCCAATGGTAAATTCCCCTTCACGGATTGCTGGGGGTGAGGTGGGGTTGAGTGCAGAGAGCGTCTTTTGAAAATGGGAACCTTCTCTATCTGGATTTCTTGGCCTGGGCAGACGTTAGGGTTTCAGTGCGGGCCTCACATTTAACTGTTCTCCCCCCCCCACCGTGAACCTAGTTTTCATTTGGGGTAGTGGTTTCTGGTTGGGTTTCATGAGGTTTTTTCTTTTCTTTTTTGGAGGGGGTGGCTCTCTGCCTTACACCCTTTTTGTTTTAACACTTGCAACCATGTACACGGCAGAGTTTCCGAATGTAAATAAAATATGTGATTTGAAAGGAAGGGAACGGCTACTGCAGTCCTGGGCCAGACTCAGCCTTCCGGCGACGGGCTGCTCCCGCTGCCCCATGCCCTGTCCCCAGAGGAGCTTCCTTTGGTGCCTCTTCCTGCTCCGGCACTGGCTCCGGTGGCGAGAGGCTCCGCCAGGCCTGACTGGCTGGTGCGGAAGTGACGCCGAAGGAAGCCGCACCACTGCTGCCTGATGGGCTCCAACAGGGACAGGGCATGGGGTGACAGCGGCGGCGGCCTGGCGCCGGAAGGCTGAGTCTGGCCCGGGACTGCAGCAGCCGTTCCCTTCCTTTCCTACCATGGTTGCGCCCGTCCCCCTCTGCCGTGATCAACCTCTCCAGAAGCTGGAAGGAGAGGCTCCTCCTGGCTGGGGCGCTCCGGCCGCTCGCCCTGGCCTTGCCCAGCCCTGCTGCCTTGGGTGCAGCTGGGGAGTGAGTGCAATTGGAAGAGGCTTGGGACTGCCTGGTAAGGTAAAGTGTAGCTTTTCGCTTTTAAAAAAACTGTTCTGCGTGGGTTTT